TGACAAGATTGGACTTGATAGTTTCAAACAAACTGAATATCAGGATACTACAAATATATTGTTTTTATTAATTTCTACTCAATTGTTCTGAAATTATCAAGTCAAACCTTGGTAATGATACTTACAAACTCATTATTAATTGGGTAGAAAGTTAATAATAAATGTGTTTTCTGTTATATCCCAAGTACCATTTACTTACTCTTAAGAATTAGCTTACATTAAGTCACGTTACGTCAAAAATACAATTTTTCTTGAGATTAGATGGTGGTTGGAGGTAGTCGACAGGAAACCATGGACCTGGGTTTCGTGCTACTTGGCACTTGTCAGCAAGGTGTACCTGTAATCTTGAGGGAACTGGTGCTCCCTGGCGGATTCGACCCCGTGTCACCCAGCTTCACAGTCAGAGACGTTACCACTGAGCTATCCGTGCCGCGATCTGATCTCAATATATAGTGCACACAGTGTCGAGTCACCTAGACTGGTGACCACATCGCAACATGGTCGATAGGATTCGATCTGCACTAAATAAGGACTTGATACACATGACATTGATCACCACCCAGTGATCAATCAAATGTGGATACAATTTTTCTACTCATTGGGATATAACAAAAAATAAATGTTTATTATTCATTACAATGTTTGATACTCAATACGCTCAAAATATTACAAATTGATGGGAAATAACTTTTAATGTGATGTTGAATTTACATTCTGATTCTATGAGGATCTACCAGTAAAACTATTCCAGGTCGATGTTGTAATAAACGATTAACAAAAGTTAAAGTAAGACGAAATTGACTTGTCAGTTCAATGGATAAAAGTATACCATTCTAATAAATGCTAACTTATGATAAATAATAAACTAGCATCCATTACAATCGACACTGATGAATTTCACTGGTCATTGATTCCCATTAAAACGCCGAGAATTTCCTCTCAAAGCTATAGTGTGGTGACAAGGTCATATATGTCCACTGTTGAGAAGTCCCATACTAGGACAAAACAGCTGTCTAGTGCATATATATAATCTCCACAACCCCCATTACCATGTTTTCTCCACTAGCTAACTTCGAGAAGAAATTTCAATAGTTCTAATGAAAAGCCGTGGTCATCGGAGTTCAACTGTGTCTAGTGTGAGGAAAGTACCCAACGAAAATAATATTCAATATATATAAAATAAAATATCGGTATATCTGCTACATTGACTTTATAATTATTATCATTCATTAACAAATAGACCCTATGAATTCAGTGGGATTCATGATGTCTATGAAATTGGTGGGTCGGAGCTGTTTCAAAAAGATGAGATAGTTTATAGCAGCTCATATATATTTGAGTTTGTTCACATTGAATTTCGATAAGCCATTTTATGAACTTATTTAATAGTCACAGTCATCCGTACATTAACAACTTATATCATTGTACCTTTATTATTGTTGCACTTGTATGAATATGTATGCTTGAGCATTGCTTACTGCCCACGCATATATTCATTCTGCTAGCCTTACTATTAGTCGCTTAATTGATTCGATAATTCATTCATTCACTATATATATACATTCTAATCCTGTTCATTGGCTTACTCGCTAGCCTGGTTACTTTTCAGTACTACTCTTTCATGCTTGCTTAACGTACATGTAAATTTGGTTATCTGTGCGTGATGCAATAATAAACTTAATCAACACTTCGTATTCACCTTCTGATTAACACAGTGCTGTGGTATTATCTAGTGACAGTTATCAGAGCGAACTATATATGAAGTTTAAGGATTATATTGAATACCGACCTCCACAAGATACTCGTTCCCTTTCAATCCAAAACAATTAAACATATTAGTGTTGAATTTTATTGAAATAATGAACAGATCCATGTTAGACCACTATTGAAAACCTGAAAGCACTACATGGCCGTTACGTCCTAATACGGAACCCCTCAGGGATGCGCACCAACGACCCCGCACGTGGGATTTGAACCCAAGACCTTCAGTCTCGCGTGCAAACCCTTAACCTTAAGTTCACTGAGCTGCTACCCAGTGGTGTTATTGTCTAACTTCCCCCAATCCACGATATCTTCCAGTTGTGTTGAATTTTACTGTGACGACTGAATGCTTTGGTACAAAGTATTAGATCATTACTTATCGTACATTTTGTGCTCAACTAATCCTTCCACGGTGATTTTACAAGACATTGACCTTTTGGTTAGGCCTCACTCTTGAGTTTCACAATCATAAAGCTCATTCTGATTTCAATTGAAATTAAATTTTTTTCACTCTTGTTTATTAATAATTTTGGTTTCCGTATCCTACTTTTATTCCATTCTAATGTTTACTTCCTTGTTTCATATTTCATTTCACTTAATTTAGGTCGACTGTCCAGTGCTTCCAGGTTTTCCATGGTGGTCTAGCTTCAATTGACTCATGATTTCAATCAGTGAAATTTCTAAAATCTCCACAAAACCCCTTCTGATAATAACTATTTCTTATTATTAGATTTTGTTTATGAAATCTCTTGGGAATTTGTTTTTAGTTTAATTGTAAAGGTTTGTTCAGGTATTTTGAATATATTTAGCACATAATTGTTTGAGATGGTGGAGAACCATGTGTGGAGTAATTCAAACACTTCACTTCGACATGAAGTTTGTGCTGATGATGTCGTTGAGAATAACGATGAAAGCTCCACGACCAAACCATCCAGCTCAGAGAACAAAATTCCATCAAAAAAATAACTGTTTCTACATGGATAGTATCGTAGATATTGTCAAACAATTGTGTTTTCAACATTCAACTAAACTGTACACACATAGTGAGTAGACACTAGTCATTCTTGGAATTCACTTCATTATCTGATAACAAATAATTTCAGGTCGTAGGTTTTAGCTGTTTGAAAAGACATATTATTTCGATTAGGTTTACATTTAGTGATAATTATTCATATTATATGTAATATATTAAAAAATTCTCAAATTTAACCAATGAATAATTAGTTAATACTCCAACTTTATGTTCATTATACGTGCGTTTTACCCACCTCTCTAGTCCTTTCCTAACTTCCTCTTCAGCTAGAAGTTGATTTGTTCTCCGCCACAAAAGGTTGTTGCTGATGGTATCTGGTAAACGAATCTGGGGTATCTTGCGTAGACAACTGTTTGTAAATACCTGTACATTTTCGATAATGGTTGTAGTAGTTCCTCATATTTCAACTTGAGAAAGATCATAATTTTCCACAAGAAGCACCTTAAAAGTAATAGTTACTTTATTCAAGACTACAGTTCTGGTAACAATAAAGGATTCTCTGCACAAAATACACAGTATTTGGATTATTATACGAAATAGGAATCCCTGAAATAGCGCAGTTTTAAACAAACAGAACTAGGTGATCACAAACGAACGTCTTGTATTTAGAATTCAAAATCAGGCAGTCATCAAGTATAAGAGAATTATTAGTTCATACAAACACCACATTATGTCAACCATCTTCAACAATGAATGTTTTTGATTATTTCAGCATTGTATGACCAATTCCAATGTATTCTTCTCTCGGTCCTTTAAAAATCATAGTTACGAATAAGAGTATGATAACTCCTATGGTATTTCCATTTGTATCTTATGCTATGTTCAGTATCAACACTGCTAGTACCAATACACTCACATGAACACTGATTAAAATCTAAATGAATAACTTCGTAAAAGAACATTAAGTGTACTGTTAATACTAATTAAAAATATTAAACTACTTATAAAGTTAATCAAAATTCAACTAATGAATTGTTCTAGCTTATTTCTTTTTAGAAATTATAGTTCAAAGGACAAATGGCTTTTTAGTTAATTAATCAAAAATTGATTCTTGTTAGGATTGTACGCAATTTTCATTAATCATTCATCAAATATTTCACTAAGACTGAATTCAATTACCTTGCAAAATTTGAAAACTTGATACAGTTACAAAATATTAATAGTTCAATTCATCAGTCGATGTAAGCTAGACCACCATTGAAAACGTGGAATCACTGTACAGCCGTTTCATCCTAGTATGGGACTACTCAGTAGTGCACATCCACGATCCTGCATGTAGGACTTTAACCCAGGAATTTCGGTTTCGCGCGCGAACTCTTAACCTCTAGACCACTGAACCAGTATCCAACGGTATTAATGTTTAACTTCAACTAATCCATGATCTTGCGCAACCATTCATCCATTGTCTGAGGTAGATACCTATCTCTATCCGACACGGATTGGACTCCACTGGTCAATGTTTCTCAGGAAATCCATCTTGAAACCAGTCATTAGTGAGTACATGATGATGATTATTAGAATTCAACTATTAAATTTACTGCAATCTCCATAAACCTTCATTCGAATTACAAAATATTAGTTATAACTTCTTATTAACTCATTAAAACAGATATCATTCATAGACGTTTTACACTGACATAAAAAATCTATCTAAACTACAAGGTCATTATGTAAAATATTCGTTTTGAACATTTGATATTTTGTTGACCATGTACATGTATGTGTGTGTGTTGTGTGTTTGTATTTATATATGTGACTTGTTTCATTATTTTTTGTATGCATATATTTGGATTAAACTTTTCGTTCACACAAAATACAACCTTGACGATAGTGAATACCGGAAGTCAACTCTTTCTATTAAATTATCAATCAATTAACACCCCTTCCATTTCCATTCTCATTCTGTATATGATTGTGAAATATAATTTAGTTGTATCTAGGTTTGTTTATTGATCACGTTATACATTTTATATCAAACATTTTCACAATTTATTGTATTGTAGTTGCCTTATCAAATATCACTGATACATATCCTGATTTTTTTTTAACTAATCAGTATTATACAGAGACAAAAAGAGAAAGAGATCTAGAGAAAATAAGTAACAGAGCTCATACTGTTGAATACTTCATTCTGGAAATAAAATAGTTCTACAGATTATAAAATACTAAACAAAAAAAGGACAAAACATCAAATTTGTATACAAATATGCAAGTGTTCAGTACAATTGTCATTCAGTTTATTTTGCTTCTATACACTACCAATTATGTCATATCACTTAAATGTTATCAGTGTAATTCACATAATGATAATGCATGTAATAGTATTACTGATTCACGAGAACGACCTAAAGAATGTCCACCACATCTACAAGCATCATGTAAAACTATAGTTCAGGTAAGTTGATAAATATAATGTTTGTTTATTTATGATATAACATGAATAAATATTATTCACCTAGTGATAATCTGTAAGAAAATGCTTTTTGAATAAAATACAATTTTAAAAACGTTTTCAGTATCACCTTAGATGACTTCGATTGATGGTAAGAATTATCTACAAATTGTATAACCATCTATATTTATTAGTGTTTAGTATGAGAGGGATTACTTAAAGTTGTAATGGGAAAACCATGAAGTACGAAATAATTGAAGCTTACAGTGTATTAGTTACACTTGTCAATGAATATGGTAATAAATTTGAAAATGTGCATCATTGAAATCTGAATAACTGACTGAATAGTTTTGTTTTCTCTGGATTACACCTAAAGAAATTGGATTTGATTTTGTGTGGAATACCTGTTGGTTGGTATTTAATTTTCTACAAATCCATAACTGATTTCAGTCGATAATAAAAGTTATCTTCAAAGTGTTAATTGTCTAATTAGAAATTTTCCACATTAGCTAAAATTAATTGGATGAATAACAAGGATATATATTCATACACTGAAGTTTTTTAGGTCACGAATCAATCTTATTCGGATCATCACTAAAAACCTGATAGCATTAGACAGTTATTTCGTCATAGTACTGAAATCCTCAATAAAATGAAACAGCTTTCCAATGCTCACTGGTTTTCAGTGGTGGTCTAGCAAAGATCAGTTGCTAATCTTAAGTATGGAAATCCTATAATTTTCTAAAATTCCATGATAATAATGATCACGTGTTCACTAGGGTCTAGTTTAAAGACCCTATCCCTGCAATACAACTGAGAATCGGTAACCAGTGGAGTTCAACTATGGGAGTTAGACAATTATTAGAAGCCATATTCATTTATTCAATGATCAGCTGATACATACTAGTAATTTCTTTAGTAAAGGTGAATGTTCTTTCGAAAAAAATCATAGCAAGAACTATATTTAAACAGTTCAAGTTCCTATTTAACTGATTATTGGTAGTGTCTTTAAAAAAAAGTTTCGTATGTCTTTAATTCAATTTCAGGACAGAATATTAGTATGTAATTTACAACTACGTTTAAATAATTCTTCAATACCTTCTGGTTTTCTTTATTGATATCTTCAAATGTAAATAGGTCCTTTTTGAAGAACCCTCGGAAAGAATATGATTTCTGAACGAACCAGTAAAATCAAAGATATCACATCTTGAACTGGAGTAAAATTCGTTCATTCATAGGGCAAAATAGCATTTCGGCATCATAGCTAATTTCAATTCGTGATGAAAACCCTAACTACTGTAGTGAACAGAACACGGGTGGGGACAATCGAATGTATTTAACACAAAATTACAGGACTTGTTCATAAAATCTAACAATCATAAACTAAATGCTTAATTTGCAAAATGTTCATCAATTGTCTCAAAATGACTCAGACTTCATTGTTCTTGCATTCTCATACAAATTGCATCCTGTTTCCATTCTTTACTGTTCGATCCTCTTGTCTCTCTGCTGCCAGACCTTCTGTTCACGACTAACATCATATAATACTTATATCAATATAAGGAGCACACACCACACTACATCCCCAAACCTTATCTTCTAACTGTTGTTCCGAATCCTTATCCTCCACAATAACTCATAACTCTCTGTTGACTCTAATGAGTAGTTGAACCTTTTCAAGATCGCTTTAGCATCACTTAAGGATCTTCCATAAATTAAAGCCTCACCGGACCTTCTTCAATTCAACGATTTTATTTTAAAATAAAAACGGGAAATCAGAAAACCAACTCGGTAAAGTAAGAACAGTGTCTGACTGATAGTTTTGGTAGATATAAAGTACATAGATGAAGCAGTCAGACTAAAGATAGAGACTTTAGGTTCTTATCTCGAAAACCAAAACAGAATAATAGATAGCTGGAAACTAATTAGGAATTATGTAAAAGCCCAGTAGAACTTACTGATGCTCCGCTACTTAAATGCCGGAAATTGACACATATTAGAAGTCTAAAGACTAGGAATGAATATGAGTGACCCTTATGATGGTGGAGAATTTATCAGTATTTCAGAGGAATATAGTAGAAAACAAATTGATCTTAAATATGTAACATATTGACGGGACTTGTAAACTTCAAAATAACCTGGAAGTTCTTAAGGTGACACTATCTTATAGACGAACCAATTAGACTTAATATGGGGCCTTATGAATATTACCTTGACATTTATTTATCCGTATGTCTACAAAAAACTCCGCCTGGAGTCCCTCCGGGGGCTACTGCCGGTCCCAAGCCCGGATAAAGGAGGAGGATTGGGCATGGGGTTAGCGTCACCATCCCGTAGAAAACTAACTCGCTAAAAAACGCTAACCAGAAAAATTATTCAAACCTATGTCTACAAAAACAATAATGCTTTGTAGGCAAGCCTTACAACACTAACCCTCGCACCATAGTGATACGGATCGTGATGAAAACCTGAACGTAATCCCTGACATCAACACATAATTCTCACCCTCTTTCCATACTACAAGGAACAATCCACATGACAGAGTTCTCAATTCATGCCAAAACTCTATATTCCCTGTAATCTTATTAGCTTTTTTATAAATTCTTGTAACTAAATATTACTCTTTGATTGGCCAAATGGTCGATCAAGTTCGTCTATTGCTGTACTTTGCTATTGTACTTGTGAGTCTGAATCAATCATAAATGCAAACCAGTGATCCATCATGTAAAACAAAGTGTTCTGATATCTAGATCCTATTTTTAGTTTCGAAAATGATCCTACTCATCACCAACTAACAGGATATGTGCTCATAGTATATGCATGGAAAATTTTACTCAAGGGATTATCCAACATGAAGATGATAGAGAAAACACATAAATATTTACGCTGTATGGCATCCTTTTGTCTACGGAATCAATGTTGAAATAATCAGCCATACATTAGGTGCAGTTGTGTCCGTCCACAGCTACAATCTTAACCTTATAGTTTGATTTGTTTGTGACGATTCAACAGACAATTTGCTTGAAATAGTTGTTTCCTAATCTTTCACCATACCAATCAATTTGATTAGAGAATAGTAAAAATAAAAGTAACCCTATTAAGGCTCGAAGTTATGATATATGGAAGCTGGATTTAGTGGTTTGAAAGTAACGGGCTCACCTCAAGATATCTAGAAGAGTCTTTTGTTTACACTGCTCAAAAATATTATATTCTAGTGGGTAACATTCATCCAATATTAACAGGCTTCTTCAATGGTTCTCGAGATAATATTTTATGACAGTAAATTCATTGAAATTTTTCGGTACCCATTATCTCATTTGTCATGTTTTACACTCATCATTTTTAAGCATTCCATTATCTAACTATAATCTTGACAACTAAATAGAAGATTATTGATCGAATGTAGATAGTAAATTATTTAAAATAAATGACTTTTTAACCTTCTATCTGAATATACCAATTTGTCAAATTAATTTGAATCACGTACAAACACAATCATCTTGAATATTCAACATGTCTAGTATACTTTGTAGTCACATGATTATATCGAATTCTAACAAAATACTATCAGTTCATGATGACGATGATGATGATCGTAACTACATGTTTAAGTATTTATACACATAATGATGATCAGCACATATTTTGTAGTTAGCCTGGTCATCGAGAATATGTTGAATACCATATATAATCATTTACATTGTAATGTTAAATTGTTGGTAGACTCAACTTTAGCTTTAAGATGTGCTATGTGACTGGGAAGGAGGGTTGACAGTAGATAGTGAATTGTGTTTATGAGGAACTAGGAGAGGAAAGAACAAAAGAAAATTTAAGTCGACGACAACTCAATAATTATATATCAAATGTACTTATCTTTTATAATGAAAAAAAAGTCAGTAACCATTAGGAATACCGCAAGCATTGAGGTAAAAACACTATATGGTAAGTGTAACTGAAGTTTGATAATAAAAAGCTTTAAAAAATGAGCTAGTCATTGGTGAAACACTAATTGAATTAGTGTAAAGCCATTTAGGTATTGTAAATGTCCACAAATAGAATGTCTATCAGGTAAATATCTAAACAGAATTATTTTATAAGCAAAGATAGGTGGTGGCTAGCAGTGGAATCCAGGACGCGCGTTTTGCCCTATTTGGGACACGTCAGCTGGAGATACCTGCACTATTCTAAAATCCTTTGAGTTGGGATTTAATTTAATGATCAATTCATTGTCTCTTCTAATCAATCGTAACTTCATGGTAAACTGAATAACTGTTGAAAAAAAGAAGCGATAAGATTGAAGTACGTTTTCAACAATGAATAGACTGACTTAGAGAAAAATCTAATCACCTAACTACTTGATTCTAGTGTCATCATTATGGGGACTGATTGTTTATATTTTAATCTTATTAAAGTTTTTAATGGAGTATGGACAATTGTTAGACTTAGTCATGATTGGCAAGTATGTGATTCAATAAGTCATACAATTGATTTTCAGCTAGTTCGGCCACATATTTATACTTTGATCGACCAATGAAGTGATTAGTTGGGTTAATGTGTTAGAAACAATACATTGAACGTAAATTGGGGTGTTATTTGTTAAATTGTATGTAATTACACATTCATAGTTCCTAGGCCACTGGAGACAGTCGACCGAAAACGCTGAATCTACGTTTTGTGCTAGTTATTACTCACCAGCAAGGTGTATGTACAAGCTAAGAGGAGATGATATATAATATATAAGTCTAACTCACATCACTTAGTGTAAAAGTTAGTAACATCACTGCTTATTTGTACGAAATGCGACTGATCTTCAGTTGATTATTATGAACCACCTAAAATCTAAACATAATGTAAACGTTGTTAAGTTACTTAAATCATTGACCTAATTGGAACACGCTTGATAGAACTCAAGGACCAGGCAAATATGACATTGGTCATTGCTTATTGATCAATGAGCGTATTAGTTCAGTATGTTCATCTCTGAATCTAGTCTCTAGTGTAGT